ACTTCCTGCGTTAGGCTAGTTACCAACAAAGTTAATAGGACTTACTCTGTTTTGCTATTTACCCCATAGCTGGGGGAGGCTAGATGTATCCATACCTTACCCAAGGAAATTTGCGTGTAAGTGAATGTAACGAACTAGTCTGTTTTATCGTTCAGAGCCGATATTCTTCACACCACCGCACATCGATCCTTACAGCACATGTTATTCCCAAGCGGTCACCCAACTTTGCTTAACTTCTGTGTTAGGGTGAGAACCGTTGTTAAAATATGGTATAGCCGTAAGCATCACGTATAAATATAGAAAATAGAGCATCACTGAACAGTAACGTTTTCCATAGCCGAGTGGTAGCTCGCCGGATAAGCGTTAGTTTATCCTTCAAAGGGGGTCACAGGTTTGGTCCCCTGCCAGACAGGAGAACAATTCAAAAACGAACTCAGGTGCACACTGTAAAATTAAATATGGCCGAAGGAACGTCTGTTTCAAATATGAGCATCCAAGAATAAATGCATTAGTTTTTATATATATACAGCCGGTGAATAAGTAGGTATACAATAATGAAAAACAAAACGTTCGCCAAAAACTTACTGTATAGATTATAGAAATATATCAATAATAAACATATCAATCCCTCAAATGTTCAAACTGTTTCCACCCCCCCCCGGCATTCACGTACTCCTCTAGTCGAAAGGGGACACTCATACACACTCTGGCACAAAGGTCTTTATTAGCATCAATTTCCTGGCAAGCATCCCGTATGAAATAAATCACGACATCAGCAGAACGTGGCTTGCGTGACAATAACGAATTAAAAGAATTGTAGAACCACTAATATAATACGAATAATACTTAGTGTACACCTACTCTTGCAGTTCTGTATTTATGCCGGGTGTAACCGCAAAATTGTCCAAATCGTCTAACAATAAAATTGTTGAATTAAGATTTGAACCGATGTATGTTAGAAATGATTAAAAATATCTTACTGGAAAACTCCAAGATGTTTATAACACTACTGGACTATACTTTTAGGAAAAGAAAATATAATTACTCCTTGAGCTTAAGAGAAGAATCGTGATGAAATTGATCATAAACAAAAAATGACATATCCATCATTAATTAATCATAGTTAATGATCGAAAGCTATTGAAGGATTGAAATAAAGTTCAAATATATATATATATATATATATAGTCATCCACAGACAGACTATTTCGCTGTATCACAGCTCATCAGTGTGGCTAGACGTTCGATTGCTTTAAGCCGGGATCGAAACTCAACTGATTTGATGTCTTTCAGAGAGCTTACTTCTAGGCCATCATCGCACCGGAGCAAAGAGGAGAATTTTTACCGTTTTTCTCAATATAAATACGCCAGCGGTTTAGAGAACTCAATTTATACTAGAAGAGTAATGCCTAATAGCAGTAGGAACCGCTGTTTTTTTTTAATTTTTTTATATCCCCTTATCTAGAGAGCTCAACCGATTTCCAGAAGCATATATATATATATATATATATATATATATATATATATATATATATATATATATATATATATGTGTGTGTGTGTGTGTGTGTGTGTGTGTGTGTATATATATATATATATATATATATATATATATATATATATATATATATATATATATATATTCGGTATCATTCCCAAATTTTCGGCATCTTTAACCTTTCTGTCCTGGAGTAACAAGGTACCTCACGCGTTTCACATAGGATTTCATTTTCAAGTCTTTTTTTTTCACTGCTCTTTGAACTGCCATTGCTGAAAATCTTTTCTCATGTGCCAAATGTCTTATGGATTGAGTTGGATCTTTTCTAATTGATATATTTATCTCTAAGTTGAAATTATGATCCCTCTTGCTGTTGTTCCCTCTTTTTTTTTTAAACTTATTCACCGTTCTCTTAATGCTTCTTGATTGGGCATTGAAGATGAAACCCAGAGTATAAATTGTGCTAATATTACTGAAAGCCTGAATGATATTTTCCTCTCACCATTGCTCAGTTGGGAAGACAGTGAGGATGACACGAAACGATTTTAACAAGTTCTCTTTCTAGTTGAATAATGCGAAGGGTTTTTCAATGATTCTTACGATAAACGTCTGATCTGAAAACATGGAAAAAAGAAATTAAATTAGTTTAGTGTTTTTTTTTTAGATATTAAACATTTTGTGGTTTGGACAGTTATGCTGTTACACCCGCTATGTCTAAATGTCTGGGATGATTTAAATTATTTATATTAGGATACTTGCAATAACGGTCAAAATGTTGCGATAACAACAACAAAAGATGATGACAGTAGACCGAATACACACACACAGACACACACACACACACACACATATATATATATATATATATATATATATATATATATATATATATATATATATATATATATATGTACACACACACACAGTGGGTGAAAAAATATTCGTACACATGAAAAATTGTATTTTTATAAATGTAAAAGCTTTAACTAAAACAAATGTTGATACATTTTATGTGTAAAGATACATTTTATTAAAATATAGTAATAAACTTAATTCTTATTCTAACAGAAATTAATGCATTTTTTTAAATTCTAACTGATGAAAAAAGTATTTGTACAAAACAAAAATAGCATATTAACTTAATTTAATACTTTGTGGAATATCCTTTATTGAGTTCAACAGCTACCAGTCTATTCCTGTACGTCTCAACTAATGATTTGCACACATTGAGTGGTATTTTGTCCCATTCTTCTTGGCATATTGTCTTCAAATTCTTGATATTTGTTGGTGCTCTTTTCCCAATTTGAATTTTCAAATATCGCCATAAATTCTCGATTGGGTTCAAGTCTGGGGAATGACTTGGCCATTGCAAGACATCAACGTTACTTTCAGTTAACCATTTCCTTGTAGATCTAGCGGTATGCTTAGGATCATTATCCAGTTGGAAAACCCAATCAGGAGGTAGGCGAAGTCTCTCAACAGAACGCATTAAATTGTCTTGCAGGATTTTCTTGTATCTTTCGGCATTCATCTTGCCATCTATTATTGATATTCTGCCAACATCTTTTGCAGAAAAACATCGCCAGATCATGATACTGCCACCACCAAACTTTACAGTTGGCAACGTGTTCTTTGGTAAGTAGGCTTCACCATCCTTCCTCCACACATGATTTCGATAATTATGACCAAACAACTCTATTTTAGTTTCATCTATTCATAGTACTTTTTCCCCAAATGAATATTCTTTATCCTTATGCTCTCTAACGAATTTTAGCCTAGCATCTCTGTGTCATATCAAGAGGAGTGGAGTCTTCCTTGTGATGCGTGATTTCAGACTGTTTTTGTGTAGTTCATTACTTATTGTACGCTTGATTACTTTAATCCCTAATGCACGCAGATGTCCCTGCATCTCTTCTCGGGTAACCTGAGGATTTTGTTAGATCTGGCGTCTTAATATCCTTGCTGATCTTAGAGAAATCTTCCTCGGAGCACCTGTTCATCTTTGGTTTTCGACGCTGTTACGAGTTTTAAACCTTGCAATGAACGAAGCAATTGTAGTAAAAGGAATATTCAGGTTGTTAGAAATCGTTCTGTAACTTTTCTCATCTTTCCAAAGAGACAAAATGTGTTGTTTTTGTGAAATAGTCAATTCTTTACTTTTAGGCATTATTAGAAACTTCTCGTAAGACTAGAAATTGCAGAATGATCTGATAATGGCTAATAGCGTTAACTATAATTACTGATAACATTACTGGAACATTCTAGAATATACTTTTTTCATAATTAATTGATTATTTTATTCTAATAATTGATTTGTACGAATACTTTTTTCACCAGTTAGAATTTTTAAAAATGCATTAATTTCTGTTAGAATAAGAATTATCTTTATATATTTTTTTTTATAATATGTGTCTTTATACATAATATATGTCGAGATTTGTTTTATTTAAGGCTTTTACATTTATAAAAATACAATTTTTCAAGTGTACGAATATTTATTTCCCTCACTGTATATATATATATATATATATATATATATATATATATATATATGTGTGTGTGTGTGTGTGTGTGTGTGTGTGTGTGTGTGTGTATGCGACATAACTGATTTGCACAGACCAAAGATGCTTCTAGTGAATGTATCAGGTATTCTACCGGAAATTGCTGCCGGCAATTAATTTTCGAGCCTGCCATTCTGTGAGATAATGAGAGAGAGAGAGAGAAATAAATAGGACTGAATAGATAGATAGATAGATAGATAGATAGATAGATAGATAGATAGATAGATATGAACCTACCGAGATAGATAGATAGATAGATAGATAGATAGATAGATAGATAGATATGAACGCACCGAGATAGATAGATAGATAGATAGATAGATAGATAGATAGATAGATAGATAGATAGATTTGAACGCACCGAGATAGATAGATAGATAGATATGAAATACACCGAGACAGATAGATAGATAGATAGACAGATAGATAGATAGATAGATAGATAGATATGAACCTACCGAGATAGATAGATAGATAGATAGATAGATAGATAGATAGATAGATAGATAGATAGATAGATGCTCAAAGGAATTTATCGCAGTAAATAACCGTAAAAAGCAATTAACTCTTTCTCTGTGTTTTTACCCGATCACCAACGTTTATAAATCTGCAAATGACTCTTTACGCCTTATCCCAAAATATCGCCTATTGTGGCCACCTTTCACTCTTTGCACACATAAGTTGTCCCAGGTTACTTTGAAGGACTTCGTCTACAATTCCTGACGTAAATGTCCACAGATGAAGCAGTTGGCGTCGAGGCGCGTGTCAGGGATAGTTTGGGTGGAGCACTTGGTCTGCAGTGGCTAGTCTAACCAACCAGCCGAACGGATTGGCGAGGGGTGGCCGGGGGGAAGCGGCATCGGTTTCAAGGATGGAGCGCTGTATTTCCCTTCCTAATGGTAACCGACACGAATTGAAGAATTTACGCTTCGTTTAGCAACATGAATTCAAGAAGCCAATACAAATTGGAGGAGCCGAATGGAAGATTTCCACTCACATATTTCCCCTCTCTCTCTCTCTCTCTCTCTCTCTCTCTCTCTCTCTTCTTTGTTTTAAGTTTTCTTTTTTTCACTATTGATCTCTAACTTACCCAGTCTCTCTAACAATTGCATGTTTTCTTCTGTTTCTCATTGTCGTTCTCTCGCTTCCAGTATCGTCTTCACCTCCTTTCTTCATGTTCTTTCACTCTTTCTCAATCACTCTCTTTAACTGCCTGTCTATTCTTATTTATCTGTCTTTCTCAGACGATGCATATCTATTTATCCATCTATATATCTATCTAATTCTCTGTTGTTTTCTATCTATATGTCTCAGCCAATTCATATCTATCTGTGTATATATATATATATATATATATATGTGTGTGTGTGTGTGTGTGTGTGTGTGTGTGTGTGTGTGTGTGTGTGTGTATCCGTCTGTCCATATCTATCTATCTATCTATCTATCTATCTAATTCTCAATTCATTTCTATCTCAGCCAATTCATATCTAAGTGTGTTCATACCTCTCACTTTCTCTCTCTCTTTCTCTTTTTATATATATATATATATACATACATATATATATATATATATATATATATATATATATGTTTGTCTGTTCATATCTAACTCTATCTCTATAGCAGTCTGTTCATATCTATCTATCTATCTACATATATATGTGTGTGTGTGTGTGTGTGTGTGTGTGTGTGTGTGTGTGTGTGTGTGTGTGTGATATTGAGCTCCTTTCAAAAGATTCCGCTCATATTTAATATATACAGAAATTATGTAAATTTGTGTGTTTGAGTTTATATATATATATATATATATATATATATATATAAATAAAAAGAAATTGGAACTGTGTAGCGAAAATAACCATATTTTAAATCAATTAATTTATAATATATATATATATATATATATATATGTGTGTGTGTGTGTGTGTGTGTGTGTGCGCGCGCACGCGCGTGTGTGTGTTTATTTTTCTCTTTTTCATTGCTTATTTCAATGTGGTCTAATATCTGTCATTCTCCAGGTATCTGTCTGTCTGCAGGATCCATCTACTTACCAGTAACCATCGCTACTGATTAAGGTGGTAGACGGGCTTTGTGCTTAGGTGATGGGAAGTTGTACTTCACCATTGAAGGCGGCATCATCAGTTTAAGTAACTGAGAAGAAAGCAGAGTTCACGTAAAAACAAAGGGAGGTAATTCATAAAAGATCATCGGAAGAAATGTAATATGGATGCGGGCTGGGACCAGACGAATAGTGACCGGTGAATTTGGATACTGGCTGATCAGGTTTGGTCAGCTGCGCTTGGAGAGGTAATTCTGCATGAAATTAGGCGCCTATTCTGGTTTTGTGTTTGTTGCGAGCATTAACAGTCGGTAAATTCGTTAATGAAGCTTGCTAATACGTCTGGCCAGCCACTTTCTCTTTCGCTGACTTTTATGACTTCTTTATACTTTTCTCGTTATTTTACCCTATGCACATGGGAGGGTCCATATTTATATGCCTTCATATTTATTTATCTAGCTAGCTTCGACAGTTCATATCTATCTATCTATCTATGTATCTATCTATCTATCTATCTCACTATTCTTATCAATATATCTATCTCAGTCTCTCTCTCTCTCTCTCTCTCTCTATATATATATATATATATATATATATATATATATATATATATGTATCTGTCTATTCATGGCTATTTCTCTAGTAGAATCTATTCATATTTATCTGTCTCCGCCTATTTATATCTATTTGTCAATCACAGTTTGTTCATATATATTTCAGTTTATTTATTTGTTTATATCTATTTCAGTCTATTTATGAATATATATTTATCTATCTCAGTCTATATATATATATCTATCTCACTCTGTTAATATCTATCTATCTATCTATCTATATATATATATATATATATATATATATATATATATATATATATATATCAGTCTGTTCATATGAATCTACCTATCTCAGTCTATCCATATCTATATCGCTATCTTAGCCTGTTCATATATGTCTATCGATCTCAGTCTATATCTATCTATAGTCTATTCACATCTATCTATCTATCTATTAAAGTCTTCTCATATCTATCGATCTCAGTTTATTAATATCTAAATCTATTCATATTTATCTATCTGTCAATCTATCTCAGTCTGTTCATATCTATCTATCTATCTATCTATCTATCTATCTATCTATCTGTGTTTCTTTCTTCTGTGTTCATTCATTTGTCTTTCTTTCGCCATTCCTATCTATATGTCCCATTATTTTCTTTCTTTCTCTCTTTCTTTCTTTCTTTCTTTCTTCGTCTGTTCATATCTATCTATCTATCTCAGTCTGTTCATATCTATCTATCTATCTATCTATCTATCTATCTATCTATCTATCTATCTATCTATCTCCGTCTGTTCATATCTATCTATCTATCTATCTATCTATCTATCTATCTATCTATCTATCTATCTATCTATCTCCGTCTGTTCATATCTATCTATCTATCTATCTATCTATCTATCTATCTATTACAGTCTTCTCATATCTATCGATCTTAGTTTATAATATATATCTCAATCTATTAATATATATCTATCTGTCAGTCTATCTCAGTCTGTTCATATCTTCATTTATCTCAGTCTGTTGACATCAATCTATCTATCTATCTATCTATCTATCTATCTATCTATCTATCTATCTCCGTCTGTTCATATCTATCTCTATCTATCTATCTATCTATCTATCTATCTCTATCTATCTATTACAGTCTTCTCATATCTATCGATCTTAGTTTATAATATATATCTCAATCTATTAATATGTATCTATCTGTCAGTCTATCTCAGTCTGTTCATATCTATCTATTTATCTCAGTCTGTTGACATCTATCTATCTATCTATCTATCTATCTATCTATCTATCTATCTATCTATCTATCTCCGTCTGTTCATATCTATCTATCTATCTATCTATCTATCTATTACAGTCTTCTCATATCTATCGATCTTAGTTTATAATATATATCTCAATCTATTAATATGTATCTATCTGTCAGTCTATCTCAGTCTGTTCATATCTATCTATTTATCTCAGTCTGTTGACATCTATCTATCTATCTATCTATCTATCTTAGTCTGTTCATATCTCTCTTTCTATCTATGTATCTACCTATCTATCTGTTTGTCTCTCTATCTCTACATGCATATTAACGTCTTTTTCTACATACCTAAATTATCGTTTTCATGTATTATCAGTTTCATTTCATTTGTATTAATACTTGTATCGTTTTTAAGTTCAACTTCGATACTGAACAATAAATAAATAACCTCCAGTAATGGCTGTTGCGTCGGGTTTTCTATAAGGATATCCTGATTAACGTATGTACGTAAGACAGTGGGAGACTTTAATGGCAACCGAAATAAAATTGCGTGCGGGCTGGCATCTCCACCCTCTAAAAACCTACTTGCTAAGAAAATCACAACAGTAACACCTCGCGTCGTTAATCTGTGTCCCTTTTGATCGACAGGATGAGCAAAATGTTACTTCTCTTGTCTGTTGTCAGTTTGTATTGCCGAAAAATCTAGATTCTCTTTTAAAATCGGCAGGAAGAAGATGAAACCCTAGATAGGCATTGTCAGAAGGATGCTGAAAATAACATGGACTGAATATATGAGCAATGAGGAAGTTTCAAGGAAAATTATAACGAAAACGAACATAGAATCAGAAAGCGATAATTGAAATCACTAGGGCAGATAAGGAGGAAAGAAGACTTGGTGAATTTGACACTCACAGGTTATATTGAAGGAAATAGAAACGAAGTAAAGTAGTGAATCTAACGAATATGTGTAAATGAATGGCCGAACGGGGACTAGGGGAGATAACATAAAAGACAACCCTTACTCAGAGCTTCAAAAGACAGGAATTTTTACCGACTGTTAATGCTCGCAACAAACACAAAACCAGAATAGGCGCCTAATTTCATGCAGAATGACCTCTCCAAGCGCAGTACAGAAATTTAAATATCCTGGAATTGTTCTAACAGATGACGGAAAGTGCAACACTGAGATCCAAAGACATATTGGGATGACCAAAGGTGCTTTCCAAAAGCTAAGCAGAGACAGAAACGTTTTGTTATAAACAAAGAAAAGACTACTGAGCTGTTACATGATATCTCGTCTATGGCAGCGAATGATAGAAAAATTTCCTCAAAAATTAGGAAGGGATTGAAGCAACAGGAATGTGGTTCGACAGAAAAATGCTGATGATACCATGGACTGAACACGTTAGCAACAAAAAGGTTTTGGAAAAAATGGAAACAAAAAGGAAAATTATACTTAACATCAGGAAGAGTCAGTTGGAATTTCTGTGTCACGTAATGAAAGATGAAGGCTTAGAAAACCTGATAGTCACAGGACAGATTGAAGGAACGAGGAACACAAGAAAGCAGCACGTAACATACTTGATGGGCTTGAGGAAATAGTCCTAATGGGTAAAAGCATTGGTTTTTGAATTTACTGATAGAGTATAAGTTCGATCTGTCTATCTCCGCAGATTAAATAAAGGGTTCAGTTTGGAATTTGGTGTAGTGTATGTAGATCGATATAAATATAATGTGAAAACGTTGTGATAAAAACAACAAAGATGAGAACAATAATCTGAATATATAGCGTGAATAATGATAACTTCTCATGCTCATAAAATAACGATAATGATTTATAAATAGTTTCAGGAAAAAAAAACTGCGATGCAAGAAACGAAAATCAAGTCGTAATTTAAAATCAGTGGATAAAGAAAAGTTAGAAAGTTGCTTGAAATGAAGGGTTTGTGTGAAATGTTCCTTTCAGATGTGTGAGTTCAATAAAAATCGGTATGTAAGAAAAGAGAGATGGGATTGACCTACGCAAAGTGAAGAAGGGAGAGGTGTGCCTACACTGTAATAAAGGAATTCGTTGAACTTTGCTGTGGCTTTGGTCAGAAGAAATAGTAGTGATGATTTGACAGTTCCTATGAAGTTGCCGATAGTTGGAAACGAAGTCCTGTTAAAATCGGGTGCGTCTACAGAAATATTCTTTGTCGAATCGTGTTTGTATTGTTTTAATAATTTCACTCCAAGCAAGTCAATACGCCCACTAAATCATAGGGACTTACTGAGTGTGAAAGAATAAGAAAATCGGAAACATTATTAAGGAAAGAGAACGATAAAAGAACAAGAATCATGAAGACAGTAAATAACGATTGACATTGCATTTAAATTTTTAGGCAACTGCCGTTGAAATGCAACTTTTTAATCATTTTTACTCCAAGTAAAGCAATGAAGTCACAAACAAAGAAGGTGTAACTGAGTGTTAGGGAATATGAAAAATATACTCTTAAGGAGAGCGAAAAATGAAAGAACAGGCATTAAAAACACAGAAGAATTTTTGAAGATTAAAGTTGACCGGGAAGCAAGAAGCCAGAAATGAGTTCCACAACTAAGAAGTGCGGTAGAAGAAACTGTTCATATAGAACTTACGGTTACATTTAACTATTTCAGCTGTAAAATAATGAGACCTAGCCGCCAATCTAGCACTGAGCTTAAAATCATAAAGAGGAATGTAATATTTATTTCAAAAAATATAAAAGTGGGGATAGGTGAAGGCTGGCTTTCAATCTATCCACTATTACTGACCCAAACATACCACAATATTCCTTACATCAAAACAACACATTCTTAATTATCATTCTTACTACAGTCACCATAATACCTCAAGTCTCTATGTAGTTCCATATGTACAGTTTGTCTGTCGGAATGGTAATAAAGATAACAATTAAAAGGGAAATTCATCAAAACAATTACCATGAAATTATTTTAAGGATAAATTCCCCCTCCAGCATGATTCGAAATTCTATCCCATTTTTCTGAAGTTGGAGTCAGTTAAAAGAATGGTTTCCTCTACAAAGGGAGTTGCGGAGCGCGCATATTTCATTAAGAAGATTTTTCGAATAGTCAAGCCGATAGACAAACATGTGTGTGTGTGTATATATATATATATATATATATATATATATATATATATTCTGTTTACACGTTATTTTTATAGATACAAAAATTCAAGTAAAAGTAATTGTCGGACTTAACCCATTCCACACACACACACACACACACACACATACACACACACACACACACACACATATATATATATATATATATATATGTATAATAAATGAAGTCAATACTGAGTGTTGACTTCAATGTTCACTTTCATATTTATATTTACATACGCTCTATCTCTGATATTGAGTACTTTATTCCATAAATATAGCACACCTTAAAACTATATTTCTTTTCATATATATATATATATATATATATATATATATATATATATATATATATATATATATAATCATTTCACCCAAACTAAGGTACATTTGCCACTAGTACAGGGCGTAAAAGTGAGAGAAAAGATAAAAAAAGGAATGCGATTCAAGAAAATAGAAAATGGCAATTGACATTGCGTTTAACGTTTTGCAGATTGTACTTATCGGGGAAGCTAGTAAATGGTATTGAATCCCATAGGCGGGATGTATGAAAAAGAAACTGTTGGAGTAGAGGCAGTTACATTTAGCTATTTTAACAGTGATATATATATATATATATATATATATATATATATATATATATATATATATATATATATATATTAAATCCCTTCCTTATTTATTTGTAGAGAAGTTGAATATTTAAATTGCTAATAAGCATTAAATTAATTTCTTTGTGGAGTTTTTTTAAACATTTAAATTACTATCAAACGTTAAAATCTATTCTTATCTAAATTGCTAAAGATATACCACCCCTCTTCTTCCTACAAAAACCCTAAAGTGCATCTCTTTTTCTCTTTTTTTCCCTTTTTTTTCTTTTTCCCTTTTTTCTTCTTTTCTTTTCACATTTTTTCATTTCCGTTAATTTGACCGATTAAATAGGTCAATGTCTGATCCTTACCTCCTCCTTCCTCATATTAAGTATTATAATAAAAAAATAAAAAAATATATATAATATATAAAAATAAAATTTAAAACTCTCTCATCCCTCTCTAAACTCGACCATGTCTCGCACACTATTCATCACCACCCTCTATGTCAACTTATATAAGCTTAATACTGCCTGTCGAAAGTGTAAATTTTTATTTCATTTTTCGTTTCACCTTTTGAAAGTGATGTCTGAAGATATAGGGAAAAATAAAAGTCTCTGTTGAAATAAATTATTAAAATAGAGCCTTAAAGTGACCTGTTTTTTTAAATTATATATATATATATATATATATATATATATATATATATATATATATATATATATATATATATATATAATATTCTAAACTCTTTTTTTTGCCATACGTACAAACTTTTGTCTTTATCTGTAAACAAGTGTGTGTTACCAACGCGTCTACATGTGTGCATTCGTAGAAGTACGTTACGTGCCTACGAGCTTGTTTTAAAACATTCACCTATCCAGTAACAATTATGTGTTTCTTTGGTAATTGTAGTTAATGACGAGTGCCTGAGAGAATCAGTTATAATCACTCGACACGGCGCATGCGTGGTGGAAACACTGCCGGAGTGGCCAATGATGGAGATCTTCATTCATTAGTGGGCCAATCACAGACATTTAGAAGGCAGTCAATTAGCTTATTTAGACCATTACAGAAGAGAATTGATTGATTCTTTCATTGATACAGACAAATTTAGATTGACTGATAGATCCATTTGTTATCGAAACTTTTGCTAATATATGGTAGGCAAGTGATCCGAAGACTGTTATAAAGTATCAGTCACTTACCAGGCCTCATAGATAGATATGAACAGACTAAGATAGATAGACAAAGAGAGAGATGGGGAGAGAGAGAGAGAGATACTAAATACGGTCTAATAGTGAGATTTTAAGAAAGAGGGCGGTGAAGACTCAAATATCTCATTACTGTTAAGAAAAACTGAAATTAGTATACCAACGACTGTTATTATATATATATAGAGAGAGAGACGGAGGGAGAGACAGACAGAGAGACAGACATAGAGACAAAGAAACAGAGATAGATAGATAAATAAATAGGACTGAATAGATAGATAGATAGATAGATAGATAGATAGATAGATATGAACCTACCGAGATAGATAGATAGATAGATAGATAGATAGATAGATATGAACCTACCGAGATAGATAGATAGATAGATAGATAGATAGATAGATAGATAGAAACAGACTAAAATAGATAAATAGAAATAGACTAAAAAATACTCCGTAATAAAATAAAGTAAGTTTAATTTACTTCAACTTATGAGAATAATATCATATATTTCACAAGGAGAAATGATAGATAGATAGATAGATAGATAGATAGATAGATAGATAGATAGATAGATAGATCTTTGAACAGACCAAGATAGATAGATAGATAGATAGATAGGAAGGATATTTTATATGTAGATTGTGATGTTTCACATATTTTTATGGAAGACGCCTGAAAGCAATCAATTTATCTCAAACTTTTTTTACTAGTTTACCTCGACTTGTCCATGCTTTCAAAGTGATTGGTTGGAAATCTACCGGGATCCAGCCAATCAAAACTAAAACCTTTTTCTTTCCCTGTTTTCCAGAAAATTCATTTGAATCTTGTGTGTCGAACTGACTTGCGATTTTATATATTTCATTATCATCAAAAGCTAGATTCTTTCTTGCTATCTTTTCTTTCTATGTCTCTTCCTGACTCACACACACACATTTTCTTTCTCTCCCTCACACACTCTCCGTCTTTCTATTCGTCTCTCTTTATTTCTCCCTGTCTGTCATTCGGTCTTTCTCAGTTTAATCTTATCAGTCCTTCACTCATTCTTTATTCTTCTATCACATTTCTTCTATATTTTGTATCTATCGTCCTCCCCACTCTCTGTCTTTATCTCTGTCTTTCTCCCTTTATCTCATTCCCTCCCTCCCTCTCTCTGTCTACATCTCTCTCTCCCTCTCTCTCTCTCATTATTTATACGTAACTTTTTCTACGCCTCTCTATGAATAACAGAATGAATGATAGAGAATGGGATTAAATTTTTCAAAAAGTCTATCTCTTTCTCTCTCTCTCTCTCTCTCTCTCTCTATATATATATATATATATATATATATATATATATATATATATATATATATATATATATATATATATATATATATATATATATATATATATATATATATATATTGTTTTACTTCGTTTTACTTTGTTTAACTTCGACCTAGCTATCTATCTATGTCAGTTTGTCAGTTTGTTCATATCTATTTATCTATGTCAGTATATTCTATCTATCTATCTATCTAAGTTTTTCATATCTACGAATGAATGCCAGAAATTGTCCGCATTTCTCAGCAGAAGACAGTGTGACAAATATGTTATGGTGAAAGTGCGTTATCTATCTATCTATCTATCTATCTATCTATCTATCTATCTGTATCTGTCTCTCTCTCTCTCTTAATATATATATATATATATATATATATATATATATATATATATATATATATATATATATATATATAATTACAATCGTTGCTATACTAATTCAGTTTTTTCTTAACAGCAATGAGATATGTGTGTCTTCTTCCTCCTCTTTCTTAAAATCTCACTATTAGACCGTATTTAGTTTCTTTTTTTCCATCTATCTATCTATCTATCTATCTATCTATCTATCTATCTATCTATCTATCTATCTATGTGTCTGTCTGTGTGTCTGTCTATCTATCTATCTATCTATCTATCTATATATCTATCTATAAAGCCTGGTAAGTAAATGATACATTATGACAGGCGAAAGACAGATTTCATTTCACCGTCTACATTCTTTCTTCATTTTTTCTTTCTTTTCTCTTATATTCTAACAGTTTCTAACTTTCTCTCTGTCTTCTTTCCTTCATATGACTATCTCCCCCCTCTCTCTCTCTCTCTCTCTCTCTCTCTCCGAGATTCTTTCTTGAGATTTGTACTATGTAATCTGCTATGGAATATTTTAGAAGGATATTTGCAACGGCAAGTAACTCCACCCGCCATTGAACATGCGATACATGAAGGTTAACATTAGCATAGCATTTTGACGAACACTCCTAGATCACTGAATTAAGTGCCATATACATCTTACGTCATGTAACTGAGAACACATTATAACACAAAAGAAAAACGATGATATTCGGTATAAAGAACATGGTATTTATCCAAGCTCCCCACAAAGCGGGGTGTGGCACAAGGCCGGTTTAACGTGGGTTTTTTTGAGCCCCTAGACCATGGCAAAAATTCCCCACAGACCCACTAATAATGGGGTCAGTTTTGTCTACATCCACAGAGGGGACTCTGCCCTTCGGCATAGTCTCTGTTGTTTGAGTCATGTTTACTGTCAATTGGAGCCATGTTTCTTGTTAATTTTCTGTTCCCTTGTTGATGTCATTTACCCTTCTATTAACTACTCAGTTGTTGGAACCATGTTTCCTTCAATTGTCTGCTCTCTTTTTGATGACATATTTCCATTCAATAAACTGCTCGATTGTTAGAGCCCTGTTTCCGTCCAATTCACCGCCCGCTTGTAGCCATGTTTCCTTTCAATTTACAGCTCACTTATAGAGCCTTCTTTCCTTTCAATTGACTGCTCATTTTTGGAGCCATGTTTCTTTTCAATTGATTACTCTTTTTTGAGTTATGTTTTCTTTCAATTGACTATTCTCTTGTTGGAACCATGTTTCCTTTTAATAAGCCATGGCCAACATATTTTCAAGATCAGTAAGCAGTCTTTTTTTTAAACCTCGAACTAATTTACATATTTAGACTTAACCTTGTTTTTTGTTTATAAATGATATTTAAAAGGGGATCCTATTTTTTTCAGCAATTTGATTATTAATTTTGCTTTCGTTGTATGATCTGTAAAAATATTCATGTTTGAGAATGTACTTCTAATAATCAAAAACATCTGCTATATTTGATTGGCTTTTTTCCTGTGAAGTTATTTACTATTCATAATGTTTTTATTTTTACGAAGATTTTTACAAAGGTTAAATGTACTGAAATATTATTATCCCAAACATGACGCCCTTATCCGCCAAAGGTTTGATATTTTCACACTTGGTCAGTGTAATAAGGAACAGAACTAAAGAAGTAACTTTATAAATAAACAATGACACACCACCGTTAAATATTCCTATTTCTTATTCCTTATTACACTAACAAAATGGAAAATGCAGATACAAAAGCAAGATAGAATATGAATATGTAACTGCAAGTAAAAGAAAATGACACAGATAAGTGCAATTAATACAAATAGGAAGAAAAATAGGAAGCTTTAACTGTATGAAGAATTGAGAAAAGATATTACGAAAAAATGACAAGATTCAGTGACACAAGACGGAACTAAGAACAAAGAAGAATACAAGGAATTACAAAAGAAGAGGATATATATATATATATATATATATATATATATATATATATATATATATATATATATATACAAGTAGTAATCCGTTGGCATAATCCAGACGAGTCCTATTAACAAAATATAGAATGCGAAATACGTTAAAACTGACTCACAAAAGAGCGCTCAAGGTTTGTTTTCATTAAACAGAAAATTTTCGTTACAATTGGAATTAAGATACCTTTACTGAATGACCATTTGCCCATACGAATTTTAATTTTAAAATTCGCAGAATTTTTCAAACTGTTTATGGTATCAGTTTGTAGTGGTATAATCTATTCACTATTGTATAGGTGGAAATGGTCATTCACTAAAGGTATCTTAATTCAATTTGCAAAGAATATGAAGAAGTATAGTCTCAAGGTGTGCTATATTTATGGGATAAAGTGCTCAATATCAGAGATAGAGCGTGTTTAAATATAAAAGTGAACATAGACGTCAACACTTAGAGGCGACAGTCTGTTTCATGCGATACGCAATCGTCAGGCCACGAGTGCTATTATTTTTCTCAGCTATTTATATACACGGGTCAGTAGTGCATTCTGGGTAGTCTATTTTGGCGGTTATTTTACCGGAAGTCGTTTATTTGTTTATTTATTTATTTGGGTTAAATTATTTTGCTTGTTTTATTTATTTTTTTTTTTTTTTTATTTCTTATCTTGTATATTTCTTTTTTATTTTTATTTTAATTGGTGTTTTTATTAACATAGTAAAAATTTGTTTATATCGCTTATTTAATAGTTTTGTTTTGGTTTGGGAAGATAATTAAAGCTATTTATTCAATGTTGGGGTTGATTGTTGTAGTTTATTCTATCTATTATTTTGTTGGTAGCAGTTTTTAATTTGTTTATTACTTCATGCATTTATTTGGATTGATTATCTTTATTTGTTTTTTTCTAACGGTTAATTTATCGGGATCGGTTTGTTAGTTTATTTATTTATTTGGATGAATTTAGATTAATTTATTTTATTCGTTTTTTTTATTATTTATTTATTATACTGCATATTTTTATTTACTCTTTTCGGTTTTCGAGTTTTAAGGGTTAACTTCTATGTCCACTTTTATATATATATATATATATATATATATATATATATATAATTAGAGAGAAAGAGCAGCAAAAGATGGATAATTCTGGAAGTGTCTAAATCAATGGAAGTTAATGTGAGTGGCGCGCCCAAAGTTGTTCAACACTCCCCCAATCTATCAATCTTTCTCTCTCCCACCCTCTCGCTTTCTCTCTCACTCTCTCCCTGCCTCTTTCTCAATCTATCTATCTATCTATCTATCTATCTATCTATCTATCTATCTATCTACATATATATATATATATATATATATATATATATATATATATATGTATGTATCAGTCTATGTCTCTCTCTGTCTCTCTCTCTCTATATATATATATATATATATATATGTGTGTGTGTGTGTGTGTGTTTGTGTGTTTGTGAGAGAGAGGGGGGGGGAGAATACGTTGCTAAAGAGATAAAAGGACCGATAGACCAATAGGGAGAAATGGACGATAAATGTCAGGTTCAAATAAAGTTTACACCCTTTACCTCACAGTTATGAATTGAACAGATAGATAGATAGATAGATAGATAGATAGATAGATAGATAGATAGATAGATAGATTCCAACTTTAATAAATGTGTTTTTTCTTAACTTGAATAGGTTACTGATAGGTGAGCCATTGAAAACTCGGCATTGAGAACATCGGTCAGTTTCTCGGTCGGACACGACTGGTTTCAAACGGTTGTGAATGGCCCCATAATTGCAGTCCGTAACAAGTTATCCACTTTTGCCGGATGACAATCGAATCTAATTATTTCGACCAAATCGCCGGTCATCAAATTCTTGTCCATCACCAAATACATACAATTTCTAAGTGTTTGAAAGGGCGAGTCTTCCTGGCCCCACATTTGGTTCATTCGATCTCGCCTCATCGAAACCAATTGATTTTCTTATTTCGCTACTGTTTGTCTGGAGAAACGAAAACTTTTCTAACGTAACATAAATCCTCTTCATATAAAATCTTCCCAGTTGTTTGTTGGAAGTCGTTTGACTTTTTCGACATCTCCCTTAAGTACAAGACTGACAGTAAAGAAGTAGCGTTCTCTATACATGCCGGGATTTTTAATCAGCGGAAAGCATCTCCAGTATTCATATATATATATATATATATATATATATATATATATTTATCGTCCATTTCTCCCTATTGGTCTATCGGTCCTTTTATCTCTTTTAGCAACGTATTCTCCCTCTCTCTCTCTCTCTCTCTCTCTCACACACACACACACACACACACACACACATATATATATATATATATATATATATATATATATATAGAGAGAGAGAGAGACATAGATACATATATATATATATATATATATCTTGAAGCTTGGGCACCTTGAGGCGGTGTAATGGTTAGCAAGCTTATCTTGCTAGAACTATTACGACTGAGTAGTGAGTTCGATCCTCACTGGATACCCACTACTTTCGGCCTTGTGCCACATCTAAGCTACGCTAAGAAAATCACTATATCTCTTGAAGCTTATGTGGTTCTCTACATGTACAACATTTTTTCTTCTGAATATTTTCAAATGCTGATAATCGAGTTCTTCCTTATCCTGCGTTGAAACCACGTGATTCACGTTTATCGGGGCTGAATTAAAATGAACCTGAAATACCGATTTCGAATTCTAATCTAGGTACGTTTGGTTTGGAATAAATGCTCTTTGAAAAAGACATAAATCTCTCTTCCCCACCAGGTATGGATTAAATAGCAGAGAAGTTTTTTTTTTTCAGATATATCGCAGACCTTAAAATGCATAAAAAGTTTTATTCAACACAATTATATATTGTTTCATTTTCGACCATTTCTAGAATTCAAAACATTTAGATAAATATAGGCAAAAATTAACAGTACTCAATAATTTCATCTGCCATTACGATAGGTACGAAAAAACTTACAATAAATAATATTAACTATATTGTAACAATATTAATAATCATGTGCTATCATCGTGTGTTGAAATATGCATTAGAGTAAAGGTTTGTAAAATACGCTTAATACACCCTAAAGAATAATATTTCTTTTATATACAGTTTTTCATCACGGTGTAGGCGATCATATCTCTCCACAACTTCCTATTCTTTATAGTTCTGTTTGTTACATTATTATCACTTCCATCATCCCTTGTGTTGTATCATACCTACGAACGATAATTGTTATATCCCCATTCACATAAATACAGTAGTAAATACTGTATGTTGGTCTGCACTTGAAGATTCGTTTCGAACTGTGCTGGTCAAACTCTTTGCCTCGGGGCAGAGAGGATCCCCAGACGGGGCTATGGCGAAGGGCAGAGTCTCGTTTCGGGAAACAGCTGCCCGACTCTGTACTATACGGTGTATACGGGGAACCTACAGCACGGATACCCAATATTAAATACGGCCTTGTGCTACATGTGACCGCGTGGGGCGGTTGGTAGATATCCTGCAGTTGGAGATTCTCTCTGCCCCTGGGTAGAGAGGGTCCCCAGACGAGACTATGTCGAAGGCCAGAGTCTCGTCTCGAGAAACAGCTACCCCCGACCGCGTTTTATACAGGGTATACTGGGAATTTTTGGCCGAGACTACGGGCTCGGATACACCACATTAAATTCGAGCTTGTGCCACATCTGACTACGTGTGTCGCTTGGTAGATATCTTGCAGTCGGAGATTTATTGTGGAATTCACTTGAATTGGTGATAGAACGACTAATAGTCGTATATTAGTAGTTCGTAAATTATTATTCATGGACAAATGGCCAAGGGGTTAGAACGCTCACATTCTGACCATGAGATCCATGTTCGAACTGATTTTTCAGGAAGGATAATTCCTGATGTTATCGGAGGAATCAAGCTCAGCGTGTGGCACCTTTGGAAAGTGCCTGAAAACCACACCACAGGTTGTGAGTGAAATTGAATAGACGGAACCCTTCGATTTCTGTCGATAGCTGTGCTAGAATGATGTCAAAAGCCATCGTGGCCGAGGACTTGAGCGTGCTGGCCTCGTTCAAATAGTTGATCACGCTAGATAACATACTCTTTCCCAGAAACTGTAACTAAGGTCTGCTCAGCATAGTTGCAGTATAAACC